CGCGGGAGGTGGGGTGGGGCGGGGGGTGGGGTGTAGGGCGGTGGGGTGTTGGGGGGGGGGTGTGGCGGGGCGGGGTGTGGGGGTGGGGCGGGGGGTGTGGGGGGGGGGGGGGGGGGGGGGGGGGGGAAGCTGTGCAAAGAGCCGCGGGGGGTTATTTGCAGTTGTGCGTTTCCTTTTGTTGTCAGAAAGCTCTTTTATTTATTTTTTCCCTCGTCCTGTTGTCTGGCGGATCGGACTCCACACGGGTCCCGGGGAAGACAATCTAGAGCGCCGTAGGACCACTAAATGGGTCCGAAAAGGTATCCGTACGTCGGTCCAGTTCCCAAGCGGTGACGATGGCTTCAAACCGGGGTTGGTCGAGGGCTCGGTTTCGGCGGGGTGGTGAACAAGGTTTGTGCGGTGGGCAGGGCGGAAGGGGGGGAAAGCTTCAAAAGAGCATGTGGAGACTAGTGAAGTTGTAAAGACTTCGGTTCGCCAAGGTGAATGTCAGAGTTGTCCCGAGACAAGCGACGAGATTTGTTCAATAAGACCTGACGAAGTTGCGCTGAGCAGAGCAGGTTGAGAAGCCCGAGAACTTGACATGTGGTAACAGCGGAAAGGTCGCGTGGCCGTCGTGTCGCGCCGAAAGGGCCAAGCTATTTTTTTTCTTCACTAAGGTACCCTTCCTTGGACAGCTCAGCTTGAGCGCACACGCAGAGAACTCCGTCACCGAACGTCATTTCTGTCCTGGCCCTCGAGCTCTAGCACATCCCAAGATTCCCGCCCAGTCCTCATTGGGATTAGCCTTGCTGGCCCGTGCCACACGCGTCAAGCGCCCCCCCCAAAGTGTCAGTCGTCAAGCTCAATTTCAGCACCAACACCAGCTCCGCTTGACGTCGATCAACTGACATGCGCCGCGAGGCTTGACCTATTCTCATTTGACAAGCGTCTGGATGCTGACAAGGGTTGGGCGTCGAGCTGATAGTCAAATCTACCTTACCCATCTACAATTACCGGTACCCAAGGTGCCAAGGTAGCATCGTAGGCTTGCGCCGTGTATGATGATTGTGTGGGTGGCCCTCATACACATTCACTTTCCACTTCACACCTGAATCTACTAGTACTTCGTGATGCTTTTTCATGTCTTCATTCTAGTATACGCAAGCCGCCAGTCCTTTTACGCGCACGCTGATGCGCTCCAACTCCTGCTCGACACCCCCAAAGCTACTATGGTGGCGGCTGCTCGGTCGAGTAACTTGGGCTATAATCAAAGTTCTCGTATCTTTGTGCTGCCGTACGTACGTCTGTGCTTGGAATATCCGACCATGTATCGATCCCACAAAACTCCGAACAACTGTCTTCCTTAAGCAACCGATGCAACAACAAGCGACGCTACGCCCTCCTCCTCACTGCGAACCGTGATCTTGGTCGTCACACCAGACTTGGACGAGTATGCCATCCGGATGTTAGCCACCACCCTGCCGCCGCCAACAGTCTTTCCGAGCAACTTGAGCGTATGTGTCGTTTGGTTGACGGGCACATCTGTACCCTCCAGGGGTTGCAACGACAACACCTTTGCCAATTCTTCCGTTGCCTCTGTATGTCATGGTTAGCTCTACTCATGACGGATCCACCCAGTAAGTACTCACCTGCTATGCTCTTCATACTGCTGAGCTGCAAAGTCTCCTCGGCCTCCTCGCCGGCCGCACCCACCTGCTCCCAGATGTGATTGAAGTTGCTGGCGAATGTCGGAATGACATAGTCGCTGCCTGACAGGTCGAACTCGGCCACCTCGTACTCGTCGTCGTAGCCAGTGTCCTCTGGCTCGTTTGTTGTGGGATCAATCTCCTTGCTCGTGAACTTGAGCACGTTGGAGATGCTGCTAACGGGCATGGAGCCCTCGCCGTTGACCTTCTTGAAGGCCACGTACAGCTTACCCGGTTCATTTGTGGGAAGCTTGTCAGCCTGGATGATGAAAACCTCCTCAAGCTCCTCCTCTTCGGAAGGCGTCGCCACGATGGACACGTTTTCAAGAACGGTCGCATCCAGCGTGTTCTTAACTTCGTACTGGAACACAATGTGCTCCTTGAAAATGTGCTTGACGACGGTAACGACGTACTCCATCTCTGACTCGGTAAGCTCGACAACAGGCGACGACTTGAGCACGCTGCCAAACTCCTTCATCTCGGGGATCTGCATCAGCTCCTGGGCGTAACGCTGAGAAGCCGCAGTTGCAGATGCAGCAGCCTCCGCGCCACCTGCAGCGGCCTTTGTAGGGCCAACCTTGGGAGGCTTGAGAGACGGGGCAGTTGCCGTGAGCTTCTTCGTCCGGTCCTCCGCGTCTGCCTGCTCGCGAGTAACGACAGGGATCTGAGAGATGTCGAAGGGGCTGTCAAATGCGGACTTGTCCTCTGATGTGACATACATGACGAGCTGGTGCTCAAAGTACGGCAGAGAGAACATGCTGTCTGTAGAGGGGTCAATAAGGAAATCTACACAATCACCCGCATCAAACGTACCATTCTTGACAAACTTCTCAGAGATCTCATCCTCCTGGTGCATGAGTCTGAGGTTGAGCGCTGCACGATCTCTGACTTCATCGTCCACATCATCCAAACATCTGGTAAGGAGAACCTCAACACTGCGCTTGACTTCGGGATCCTTCTGGCCGACACCGAACTTGGCAAGAGCAGTGACAGCGGCCGCACGCACAATGGCGTTCTCCAGAACCACTCTGTTGTAAATGTAGCGGATGTACTTCGTAGGCTGAGAGGTCTTGGGTCCTTCGAGACCGAGAAGGTGAAGGATTCTAACCGCCAGCTTGGTGAACTCGCAGTCCTCGATGAACTCGCAAAGGTGGGCAAGCGCATCCTCCTTGGATTCCGGCACAAACTTGATCAAATCGAACATGCTCTCGACAACGGCGCGCTTGAACTCGTACCCACCCTCGTCACGGAGAATGCCACTCAAGAAAGCAAGCATACCGGCCTGCTTGCTGGGGAACTTCAAGCAGAGCGTGCGGATGGCCTCAACGATGGTAATCTTGAACTCGTCCGTGATCTCAGACATGAAACCAGAAATCTGCTTCATCAAGCGATCAACGCTAGCCTCGTTACCGGTCTTGAGCAATGTGGTAATGGCAAAGGTGGCGATGGATCGGTTGCTGTTGGAGATCAGGAGCTCGATGTCGGGGTTGCAGACGTTGACGGCGTTGGGCTTGAAGGAGGCGAAGTTGTGGAGGATTCGGAGAGCGGCGAACTTTGTGACGGCGCGGGGGGAGGTGAGGAAAAGCTGGAGAACGTGGACGGCCTGGGAGACCTCGGCGTCGGTGACATCTCGCATATCGCAGATAGCCTTGGCGGCCTCGAAGTTGACCATCTCGCTCTTGTGGCGCAACCAGCCATCCAGTAGCTGCATCATGGGCTTTCTGAGCGACGGGTCCTCCTCGGCCAGCTGGGCAGCCAGACGGACGAGCATGACGATCGCCGCAGAGCTCTTGACAGCACCAGCGGCACCGAACTGCTGCACCATCTTGACGAGCGCCATGCGGTCGTGCATGCGCATCGAGTATAGCAGACCAATGGCGTGGTACTGGGGCATAGTGGAGTTGTTGGCGGGCAATTGGCCGCTCGACGAGGAGAAGCCCAGGGAGAAGCCGCTGGAGGACTTAGTGGAGGCCGCAGCTTCCTGCGTCTCGCTCTGCCAGCGGCGGACAACATCCTTGGCGATCGGGAGAAGGTGGTAGGAGGAAATGAGAGCCGCGGAAGATACAGAGGGGTTCTTGTCGACGATTGCCGTCTTCATCACACGCTCAATGGACTGAACTGTGGTCGCCTGGAAGCTAGTTAGCAGACTGCCCTCTCCCTTCCATGTAGCTTACAGCTTTGGCGTACATCGATAATGCGGCACAGGGCCCTGATGGCGTTGGGTCGGAAGATGGCATCGGTGCTGCCTCCTGTATCCTTCATGATGGTGCTGGTGACCATGATAATATCCTCGGCCGAGTGAGCCAGCTCCTTGATGACAAGGTGGACCATCTGTCGCAAGCTGGCATCTTTATTCTGGAACAGCTTCGAGATACCGAAGAAAAGGGTCGTCGCTTCGTTTGTGGGGAACTTCTCGCCCGTGTAGAGCAGAAGGGCAATCTTGGTAAGGAGGATTCGACATCTTCGCGGCTGGATTGGGGAGCTGTTGAATAGTCGTGCTGTTCACTCCCGTTTAGCCAGCTTGCTCGCCCAATGCTCGAAGGGGTTCCAGAGGGATGCAGAGAATCGAGTGCAATTCCGTCAAAAACTCACCTTCTTGGAAAACCTGGGTCCTGTCCACCTTCACCAGGCCCAAATCCGCATCTTCGTCTTTCTTGCCGTAGCTCATGTTGGGCAGCGGTTTTTGGCGGACTGCTTGAGGTCGGCGTCGGTGACTTCGAATGGGACAGTTGGCTGCTCCTGACGCCTGGTGGATAGCGTTGCGAACATGGGTGTGGGGTCCTTGCACGTGACATGGAGCCACACTTCACTTTCACGTCGTGTCTATCTTATCTGGCTTCAAGGGTGGTACCCAGCTCATTGGAACACCTCTCCCTGCCTACCCTACCTTGCTATGTAGGTAAGGTATACAGTCGAACTATACATGATTCGTTGTCAAAGCCAAGTCATGATCTTCAGACTTTTCTCAATGCAATGTTGCAAAGCATTCAATGTCATCACCTTGGCATGTGGGAGCAATCTGATGATACCTAAACTTTTTGATTACCTATCTGAGAGTAATAAAGTGGAAAAGACTGATGACCGCCTTTGCTGTCCTGTGTAATCGCCAGAATTCAATAAAACGCCCCCTGAACAGCTTGCTTCGTTCCCCCTACGCTATCTTTTGGGGGTACTGCTGCTCTGTCAAATGTCGTCCCAATCCCAAGGTCTTTCCCCAGGTAATCCACACAAAGGGGCCCAAACCAGGTCCCCATCCAAGCGACGGTGCTAACGAAGCAGAAGATGATTGACGAAAACCTCCACGAGATCTACTCATCACCGTCTATACACTGATCGGAGACCCTGAGCAGACCTGTCGACCATGCGTGGGTCTGGGTCTTCCCACTGATGGAATTGAGGGTGATCGTGAGCTCCCTCCTGGTGGTTCACCAGGGCAGAATAGGCCATGGTGAGAAAGGGTTCTGTCGCCTCCGAGACCGACATGTTGTTCAGCTGAGCGACCTTGATGGGCGGGTACTCAGTCTTCTCAGCCTTGGCCTTGGGTCGTCGGTCACCGATGACACCGACCTGGCGCTTGAAGTCACGGAATTCCTTTTCCTGGATAACAGCCATCATTGATTTGCCAAGCGCGCCTGTGCCCGCATGAAATAGCTGGCTGATTCTCTCGTTGCGTTTCTGGAGCGCATCATCCGTAATGGCCCACGTACCCTCCGTCCAGGGAGGCCGAGCGGTCTTGGGATAGTCGGCTTGCCAGTCATCACTAGAGACTATAGGCATGGCGGATGCAGCCTGAGCACGGCTTGTGGCTTCGTTCATGTTCTGTCCAAGCTTGATAAACTCTAGAACCTTCTCCATCTGTTGATCAGACACTTTTCGCGCCTCGTCGACGACGTCCTGGAAGCAGTCGTCTGTGTCGGGTGTAGAGCCGCAGAGAAGGGATTCGAGTGGGCTTTTAAGATGAATGGGTGTCTCTGCGCCCCGGGACCTCATGGGTTCGAGTGTCATGTGCTTTTGCGGACCCAAAGTCGTTTGACCCGACAAGAGTCCGTCGAGCGGCATCTCTTTCGGGCCATTGTTGAGGGCCTTCATCGTGGTTTCGAACGTTGATGTCCGATACTGTCGGTGACCCGGGGGGCCTGCAGTCAGGGGACGAGGAGCGCCTGGGCCAGTTGCAAGAGTAGACTTGTATGCTGCCTGTGGGGGATCTCTCTTGATAGTGGCTGCTGGGAAAAGACCAGGGGGCGGGCCTGTGCAGTTGATGTGCCCGGAGTTGTCAGGGCCATGGCTTGATGTATCGGCTTTCATCTTGAGAATGTCGTTCGGATCCGTCTTGGCAGAATGGAATAGAGCAGGAGAATGTGAGCCGTCATTTCCCACATCGAAACCCTCAAAGGTCTGGGCTCCGTAAGACGGAGTGGCTGTGCGGCTGATGTTGCCAGCAGATGGAGCCGGCGTTGCACCCGGCCGAGAACGAAGAAGGGCCCTCTGAGCTCTCTTCTGGTTCGGATTGGGGTATGATGCCAAGTTGTGGAGAGACTTGACAGTCAGGCCTCGAAGAGGATTCTCGCCAGAGCTCTCATCGTCTTCATTGTCAGTCGAGTTGGCATCGACATGCTTCTTCACGACAGGTGTGGGCATGGCAGCAGCAGCTGGTGAGGCTTGATTCCTATCCATGCTGTAAGATGGCATGAGAGAGGAAGACGAAATGCTTGGGACGTCCAATTCATTCGGAGACTCAAGGCTGTAGTCGGTGAGAGGGCTGACGGCGCGGTCGTAGTTCTGCTGAAGAGGCGAGTACTTGGGAATCTGAGGTGGGCGAGGACTGGTGGGTGTAGTGACGAGATTCTGGGACTTGAGAGGCAAGCCGGCAAGAACTGACTTGGGAAAGAGAGACAGCTCAGAAGCAGCGGCTCCCTGGGCAGGCCACTTGAGAGTGCGGCCGCGACGAACGGGAGGCTGGAGCTGCTGGGCGGTACTGGGGTTGTAGATGGTACCGGCAGTCGTGTAGGTTTGTCTAGGAACATCCTGCTGGAAGGTGCTGACAGATTGCTGGATATAGGTAGTAGTGGCCCCCGCCGCCGACGAGGAAGAAGATAGATGATCCATGTTGAGATTCAGAGGCATCGCCAATACTTGGAAGCATCCAACAAAATTCGGAAATCCTGATATGGATAAGCGTTGGCCAAAGACGAATTTCTTTTGTGTTGATCCAGTTCGGAGAGTATTTCTCAGACGGTGAGCATCCAAAGGAGTGCTGTGCTGCTGCTGTTGTTGTTGCCGTGGCGGATGAAGGAACGACTGATGATGAGACTGAGGAAGGAATCAAGAAAAGAATGGTGCCAATTGCTTTTGACGTAAAAGCTTCAGGTCATCTCGTCTGGAAGTAGAGATGGGAGGTGAAGCTGTCACGAAGCGGCTGTTGACGAAAATTGCAAGTTGAGGAGGGGTGATGGATGGGTTGAAAAATAGATGGAGGGAGGACGAAAGGAAGAGGAGTTGATGAAGTCAAGGGGAGGGGCCGAGGGCCGACGCTTTGCAAGGCAGGGTATCAATGTGCGTAGAGGGGACGGAAGGTGAGGTCGCAGTCTGAAGGTCGGATGGAAGGCGCGCTGGCGCGCCCGTAGGTGGTTTGGCAGACAGGGAAGGAATGAGGTGTGAGGTGGGTGGAAGGTGCAGGCAGCCTTGCAGGTGAGTTGAAGGTGAAGTAGGAAGGCAGGAGCCTCGTCGAGGCAGCCCAACCCAAGGCGGCCTTTCTTCCTTCCACCTCAAGAAGAAAAAAATGCGCAGATGGCCAGATAAGACAAATATGGTAGAGGGGACTGGGAAGCAAGGCAGGAGTCGAGTAAGAATCTTCAGATCAGTGCCTGCATCTCAGCCTTGCTCTCGTCGGTCTCTTGCAGCAGAGTAACGCAAAAATTTCAACGCTCAAGAAGACAATACCAGCAAGGTTACAAGGCAGCCCGGTGGAAAAGTCAAAGTTCTAAACGCCAACACTCTGCGCAGTCGATGCGGAATATCTCGAAGATGAAAGCATACCACTGCCTAGTAAGAAGCCTGTATGCGAGCCCGTAGTATATCTGCCATCCTCTGTAACAGTTCTGTGGAAACCCCTTTACCGAAGCCACTCAGTCTGATTTTGAAGTTGGTAGAACCATTCGGAACGACAAGATTCTCCTCGAGGGCAGGAAGAACGACCGGCGGAGAGTCAAACACCCACAAGTGATATCGACACAGTTCCCCTTCGGTAGCCGTCGTTCTGTTGGATGGGTGTTCGGGACTGTCGCATGGGATTGTGGCAAAGCAGACAATGTAATGATTATGCTTCTCGAGGTTCATTCTGTCGACGAGGTGCTTGGGAGAACGCACAATACCAGTGGCATACATGCTGTCGTCGGATCTCGGAATACGGGATAAAGACGGATCAAAGATCAGAGTGAATGGGAATGTTCCGACGAAAGAGCGGTTGGGACGAAAAGTGATCTGATTCAAGGTCGGCTTTGATTCATCTACAATACAAGGTAAGCGAGCTCCTCGTCTTATATCTAATGAACCTTTGCAGTAGGCTGGCCCAAGGTAGATGTCCTTCCCCCCCCCCACCTCTTACCTGATGGCTCGCAGCCTGTGACCAATTACCAGGAAAAACAAACTCACGCTCCTGATTTTCTCACCGGAAAACTCAGCATATCAAAATCCACCTTCTCCATCCACCATCGCCAACGGCCAAAACCGCTGGCTCCCTACAATAGTTCAACGCTCCAACCAAACACACAAAAGGTCCGCATATGCAACAGCCACATATCCACAACGATCAAAGGTTCTTAGGCGCAGACAAGTCGGGTTACACGATCCCCAAGCGCCCCCTATTCCCTCCACCACACCTTTCCTTCGTTCCCCGGCCCGATGAACAAGCAGGATTATCTCTCACCATTCCCTTTATGAGCAGAACGGAGAAAAAGCCTCTCCTCTCTCTCGAGTATGAACGATCATCAACCAATCATCTTGAAAAGTACGCCACAGGACACCCACGCCAGGCCAGCGAAATGTCAAAAGACCAGAGACCTCGAAACGTTGAATCAGAAGGGCCTCCAAAGTCAAAGTTCGCCGCATTTGGCTATTGCTCCCCTTAGCTGCCGTGCTCGACCGGCCAATCCCACGGGAGGGCTTCCATGTCCGGCTAAGGAGTCGAGAAATAAGGTTGGTGGTGGCTTGTTCCCTCTTCCCCAGAGGATCTCGTGTCACTGATTTAGGGCTTCAACTTTACCCCCTTGACAGGTGATAGGCTACCTCAGGCCGTACCTTGACATCCGGGGCAACCCATCTTCAAGCTTGGACTTGCCCACATCTCGCATCCTGCGTCACGAGACTAAGCCCAAGCAAGCAGAATCGAAGCCATCCAGCAAAGTGTCCGAAGGGTAGATAGCAAGGAGGCGTTCGTCCGGCCCCCGCCTCCCCGCCTCCCCGCGCCCCCCCTTTCTGTCGTACCGTACCGTTTAACCAAAGAGGTAAGAAGGACTCAGAACAATGTCGGGCCGTAGACAGCCATCCAAGCTGGAAAGCTGTTTCAACCTAGAACATCTTCGATTTCGGAGGCGCTTCTTTCGTCTTAACCTCCCATACCCCCAGCCTAAACTCTATCGCAGCCGCCTTCGTCCGTAAGATGGCCTGATGTTGCAGATCTCGAGGGGACACCTAGTAGCCCTATCCGCTGTTAGCCCGCATGACAAAGTCCATTGTTGGTCCGGGCCAGACACTAAACTGAGTCGGCCCGTACGTACGTCGCTCGTTGCCTTGATCAGCAAAGAACTGCCAAGACTTTGCCAGGTGAGTAAGGTAGCTGAATGTCAGCTCGTCCAAGACGTTCCGGATGACTAGACCGGTTGTGCGCTCAGGTCCGAGAGCCTCCAACTACCATGGCGCATCTTCGTAACTGCAATTCGTGTTAGTGACAGGATGAGTAGCCGCAAAACGTTGACTAGAGCACATGCAAGTATAGGTCACTGTATATGGCATAGCGCCAACGAAGTAGTGTAATCTCTCGTATTCTCTCTGCCACCACCCTTCACTATGATACTAAGGTCTCGCACGCATTCTCAGCGAACGACGTATGTCAGGCACCAACCGCGGCGAGACCCAGCTTCCCTCGATTCCTAGCTTCCTCGTCACATGCAAGATAGCTGAAGGGCGGGCTCGAAGAGCCGAGCCGACGATCCTGAAACCATTTGTTTTTAATCATATCCACACACGCCACCATGAAACCGCTCATCAAAAAAAAAGGTCGTAATCAACCGCGACCAGATAGCCTACACATGCTTCAACAGTATTCTATCATATCCCGCATGCTTTGTTCCAGGATCGTTGAGCTTGAGAAATCAGACATGATCCAAAGAGTTGGCTGCCCTAGTAGGCAACGGTGTCAGGGAGCCTTGGGATGCAACTCTGAATCATCTAAAAGAGAAGAAAGACAAAGGTGGCCCGTGTGTTTGTAGTAAACGACTCAGGAAAAGGTTTGGTGAATGCTGGAGTCGTAACTAATTTTCATCCACGCTGCTTCGATGCAATGAAGCATTTGAAAGAAGAGAATGCCCGTTTTGAAGAAATCCACGAGTCCGGTGTATGTACTGGGCGGACGAGAACTGAATGTTGCTTGGGGTATCGGCTGAAGGACATGACTGTAAAAACATCATGAGCCTGTGCTGAGACTCGAAAATTGCGACTCGTGTTGTTCAAGGAAGGTTGAGAAATGAAATGCCAGGCATCCCACTATTGGTGTATATACTTGGCGAGTTGACTCGACTGACGAGAAAGAACCAATTACGGTCGAGTGAAAAAGGGAAGGGTTTGGAATTATAGGCCTTGCGGATACGCACTGCCGGGTATCATGCCGGTGCCTCCTGCTCGGGATGGGGGGCCGAGGCGACTGCCTGGAAGCTCAAAGTCGGGGTTGTTGTTCAAGAGCATGTCTTGCCTTCGCTGTTGGACGGGTCGTCGGGGTGGCATCGGCTGACCATACCCTGGCATTGGCGGCGCAGGATTCCACCTCGGGTTTACCCCTCTCTGGGATATTGAGGTGAAGTTGGACAGATCAGACTCGGCGCCAGGACTACGTGCACCGGCATCCGCATGAGCGTCATCATACATATTGGGCGCGGGTAGAGGTACCTGAAGGCCAGGCGGGGGACCTGCTCTTTGAGCCGGTGCCGGTGCTGGCGCGTCCGCGAAGCGCGGATCGACATCTTCGTAATAATCGCTGGCTGCTGGCGCAGGCGAGCTTCGGTTGAGCATCTCAGCAGAGCGTTGCTGTTGCAGCGGAGACGCCGTGCGTGATGAGGCCTGGTTCTGGTTCCAAGCCTGACGAGGTGGGACATAGGCACTAAAGATTCAAAATCAGCAAAGCTCTCTTCTGTTTCAAAGATTCAAGGGACTTACTCGTCTTGGCTGTACCTGCTTGCCTCGCTCATGTACGTGTCGTGCCTCTGAGGGTGAGACCTGTTTCCGCCGTTTTGCTGCTGCTGGAGCCCGACCATGCCGGCAATGTCAGCATCACTGTCACGGAACTGACCGAAACCCGCAGGTGGATGCGCAGGGCTTCCTGTAGCGGCGTCCATCTCAACCGCTTGGCCAACCATTGGCTGTCCGTCGTGGCCAGGGAGAGGCGGAGGTGATTCAGCTCTCGGCAAGCTCTGACGCTGAGGGTTGTAGGCTTCATAGCCCTGCTCTTGTTGAGGGATAGATGGGAGAGAAGGGTTTGTGAGGTTGTTCGAACTGGTGTACCCCGGGGCCATATCCATGGAACGACGTCCGTAGGGGCCGCCAGGAGGAGGACCACCGTAGCCGTTGGCTGGGCTTGGACGACGGTCGTACGGTCCAGGACCTCCGGGACCACCAGGTCCGGGTTGATAGCCTGGCGGAGGTGGTCGGCCCCCTCTCATACCGTTTGGTCCAAAGCCACCGCGAGGGGGTGGCGGGCCATATCCGCCCCGACCACCAGGCGGAGGGCCACCATAACCTCCTCGTCCGGGAGGACCTCCATAGCCACCTCTTCCTGGCGGCGGAGGACCGTAGCCACCATATCCGCCTCTGCCACCGTAGCCACCACCGCGCCCTCT